TCCTGCTGAGTGGTGCTCGCACAGCACCAAGGCTGGCTCTCCAACATTTCCTCCCATCCCTCCCTCAGTAGACTGGGTGTGGGGAGGGTCTTGGGAGGGGACACGGCCAGGACAGCTGACCCAAACTGACCAAAGGGATATTCCAGACCATATGACATCTGCTCAGAAATAAAACACGAACGGAGGGGGAAGGTGGGGGCAATCGTTATTTACGTTTGTCCTCTTGAGTAACTGCTAGGTGTACTGAAGCCCTGCTTCCTGGGAGGTGGCCAGGCATAGCCTGCTGGTGGGAAGTAGAGAATAAGTATTTTGTTCTTCTTTTGCTTTGTGTTTTTATTAAACTGCCTTTATCTCCACCCACAAGTTCTTTTCTTTTCTTTCTTTTTTTTTCATTGTTATTTTCTCCCCTCCCCATCCTGCTGAGGAAGGCGGTGATGGAGTGGCTTTGGTGGGTGGTGTTCAGCCAAGCTTACCCCACCATACCTTTGTGTGTTGTTTTTATTTTTTTTTCCCCTTGTGTGACAGAATGAGGAATTGATCTCTGTTTAAATAACCTTTGAGGAGCAGTACAGCTGCTATTAGAAACGTTTAGGACTGAGATTTATGTAGTGTTAACTTTTGGAATGACAGTACATGCTTTGCCATTAAAATTTAAATAAAGCCTGTTGTCCTAACTTGCTGTTCTTTGTCTTGTGCAATGTTGATTGTCCCTTTTCCTCCCACTTGCAGGGGTTGGACCTGGTTGCACTGATGAAACCCTTCTCTCAGCTATAGCTAGTGCTCTGCACACGAGCACGATGCCCATCACTGGGCAGCTGTCTGCGGCCGTCGAGAAGAATCCTGGAGTTTGGCTAAACACCTCACAGCCCCTTTGCAAAGCATTTATGGTGACAGATGAAGATATTAGGTATTAACTAGAGATATTGTCTTGGAACAAGGTTTCTTGTGGTAAAACAGTGGTCTCACTTTTTCTTTTTTTTCAATGTCAAGTTTAAATGTCTGATGGAGCACTTAGGTGTGCTGAATTAATTTGAATGCCTCTCTATCAGTAGAGTAGAAAAAAAATATTACATAAAACTGCCCTCAAACTGGCATGTACCTAAAGCCCATTATTTTTTATTTCAACTGTGCTCAGTTACTTTGAGGTTTCAGGTTTGTATTTGTCTTTCATGTCTGAGTATTGTCTCCTTTTATTGAAAAAAGCATCTGAATTTGAATAACCTTGATTAAAGCACCTCTAAGCAAAGAAGAGATTGGAGAAATCCTGGGAACAGTGTGATTCAATTCTCTTCACCTTACTCTGTGTCAGCACAGGACCAAATAAAAACACTAATTGAGCAGGGATGCAATTTATTTAGGTATAGCTTGTTTTCAGTAATGAATTATATTGCTAAATCAAGACTGGTCAAATTCAGGTTTAGGCACTTGATAAAGAACTGAATATACTAAAGGCAGTAACGTGAAAGCACGCTGCTTTGCATTCCTTAACAGCGTTTAAAGGTAGGAATTGTTTGGACTGTTTGACTGAGAAATCTTTTTGAATTACAGGATGGCTTTTTTTTGTGCTTGATTTAGACATGAATGACCAGGAAAGATGGTTTATAACTTTATGATTTCCTGTGGCTGAGATGAAATAGGAGTCCCATGAGCCACAGGTTGTTGATCACTTCTTTACTATGATTTGGACAGAAAAGGAGTTCTAAAATTTAAGGTTGTGACTGCAAAAGAATGAGCAAAAAGATTGAAATGGTCACAAACATAATTTTCTCCATTCTCATTTTTGGAAATCTGAGCAGGGTGGGCTGACTTTTTCTTGTTTAAATTAATATTAGTATTAGTAATTTAAAAAAAAAAAAAAAAAGTCTTGAGTCAGTTGCTAAATTAGGCAATTTCAGCCAGAATTAAAAGTGGTACAATCAACATTAAGGACTTGTAACAGGAAATATTGGACAACTTTTTAAAGTGTTTCTTTCAGCTTCACTTACAGTATAATGCCAGGTGATTTTTTTTTTTCCACAATGCAGTTCTTAGAGGGCTCTCTCAGAGCCATGTTTGCCCAACCTTGTGTCTGAGGAATTTAAGATTCCTTTGCCTTGAAGGGAGCAGCTTTGAGGGTTGATGTCAGTGTTCACTGATTTGGGGCAGGAAGCAAGAGGAACTGGTGCAGCAGGTGCGGAAGAGGCTGGAGGAAGCCCTGATGGCCGACATGCTCGCCCACGTAGAGGAAATTGCAAGAGATGGGGAAGCTCCTTCCGAGAAAGAAGGAGGTGAGGAAGAAGGAGAAGAGGAAGAGGAGGAGGAGGAGCAGGACCATGACCAGGAGATGGAGAATGTATAGTCCAGGTAATATGACAGCGTCCTTTCTCACTTTAAATTGTACTTCATTGAAGGTAGAAGTGGTTTCAGGAGGAATCTTAGTTGTATATTGACAGATCTTTGTGTTTTAGCCTGCACTTGTAAAGGTGAGATAGCCACGCTTTCAGGAAAACAGAAAATATTCTGATGTGTGTGATGTCTGAGGTGTTCAGCTTGCGCTGTCGTGGGGTGTTCTGGGCCTTACGTCAGATGGGCTAAATGTGTAGCCAGAATGGGTGTGTAAGTGCTTGAATGATTCTGTCTTGAAGGTGGATCAGTTCTTAAAAAATTATTTGTCTTCTGATGTCTTTTTTTCTTTAACTCCTATTTATTTATTTATTATGTCCTATAATAGGCAAGAGGACACGGTGGTTAGAAGGACAGCTGCCATCTTATGGACTCTGCTTCTCCTCCTGCCTGCCTTTTTCTCTCACTCTTGCATTTTTAGTTTGTGTTTTCTTGCAGAGTATATCAGACAGCACATTTGTGGAATTATTTTAAGTAATATTTGTAGAAAGTTAGAAGGCGGCAACCTGACCATCAAAAGAGGGAAGGTGCTAAAAACCTTTGTTTTATAAACTGAAAGTAACAGGAGAATGTAGATATTCAAAATCTGGAAACACCTGAGAAGTTTAAGGTAGTGTAACAGTAATAACTGCCGGAGAAGAGAAGGCTCTGGGGAGATCTTCCAATTATCCAGCCTTCCAATACCTGAAGGGGACCTGCAAGAAAGGTGGGGAAGGACTTTTCATAAGGGCAGTTAATGACAAAACAAGGGGAAATGGGTTTGAGCTGAAAGAGGGGAGGTTTAGATCAGATATTAGGAAGAAGTTCTTCACTGTGAGGGTGGTGAGACAGTGTCCCAGGTCGGCCAGAGAAGCTGTGGCTGCTCCTCCCTGGAAGTGTTCTCGGCCAGGTTGGATGAGGCTTTGAGCAACCTGGTCTAGTGGAAGGTGTCCCTGCTGCTGGCAGGGGGGTTGGGACTGGATGAGCTTTAAGGTCCCTTCCAATCCAAACCATTCTGTGATTCACAGAAATGTACCTTTACGTTGTGCATCCCTTGAAAATATCACAAAGGGTCGCTGCTTGTTCTCGGGTGTCTGATTCCCACTTGTGCAGTGGAACCTTTTAAAGATGCAAGTGGATTTTTTTTGTTGTTGTCTTGTAAACCAAAATAGCTCTGAATAATGAATCATTACTGTGTAGTAATGCATAAAAAAGCAGATGTGTGAGGCCAAGTCAAGATACACCAACGGGAGTTCCCTTAAATGTTATCTGTTGGGCTGGATAGGGACAGTGCCCCATGCTATGAAGCTGAGTTTTTCCTTGCTGTGTTCCTTTGATGTAACCCCAGCCGGGAGCACTGGATGTATTGTCAGTGGAGCTCCTGCAGTGAGATGAAAACAGAACTTGCTGATTTAAATTTTTGATCGTTTTAAGTTTTAGCCTAAGAAAAGCAATTAGTGTTCTGCCACTGAAATAGCCAATACCCTGGGTGCTTCATTATGTAGACTCCAAAGCTGTGAGGCAAGAATCAAGAATATGGAGGGGGAAAAAAGAAGGGGATGAATAGCAGAAGAAAAGCAAAGCCCCTTTGGAGGCAGTGGCAGCTGTATTGCAGGTAGAAGGAAGAGTGATTTATGTTAAGCAATCCTTCAAACTGGGAGGTTGATTATAACGTGAAATCTATTTGGCCTTTGGGAGATACCATCTTATATCTGGGCTCTCTATATTTTCCTGTTTTACAACATCACTAACAGTAGCTTTATTTGGACAGTGAATATCTTGCATTCCTTTCTACTACAAAGGTCTGACAAACTGCTGAAGGTGAAAAGTGGGAGATAAAGAAATGGATATATTATGACAATGGTGCTTTATTCTTTTAAGTTCTGACTTACTCTAAAGACATAAAAAGTTCTTACTGACTTACAAGATTTTTTTTTTTTTTTCTTCTAGGGAGTTCCATCTAAGAATTCCCAGTATAAACCCTATCAGCAGGGTCAGCACAACTATTTACAGAGCCAAGAGTGTCTGCCGAGTAAATTGCATCAACAATCCAACTGTACCGATGAGCGTTTTGACGTACGCTTCAGGAAACGCTGAGAAGCTGATGGTTCATGAATTGCTGGGTAGTTTTGAAGATGGAACTTGACTAAACTCTACTCCCCCTCCTTTTTCTAAAGGGGTAGGATAATTGGGAATGCAAAAGTGGGAGGGAATAAAGGAATATAAAATGGTGGGAGGGAAAATACTAGGAACCAAATTTCCTGTCTTTTTTTTGTTGTTGTTGTTGTGGGTCAGTGATGGGTGATACATTTTTAAGCTTTTCTATCAAAGTACCTTTAACATGACCCATAGAAACAATTTTCTCTCTAACACAAGTGAGAGAGATGCTATTTCACTCCTTGGCTACTCTGCTGTAGGCTACCTGTTTGTATCAGACTGTAGGGAGGTCGTTTTATGTTGTGAATTGTCATTCCATGTGTCAATTCGGGTCACTGAATTTCCTTTTCCTCACAAGACCACATTGGTCTTGGAAGTGTAGTCTCAGAGGTGAACTGCCAGTGCCTCTTCCACCTGAGGTTTTAATTAGTAGGGGAAGCTACACTTGAGGAATTGGTCTTACATCCGATGGCAGTCGGTTTTTTAGTTAGTTCCAGCACCACACTGAGTGCACTGCTGTGCACGTTTTTGAAGTGGAGTTACGTGTATGTCGGAGCGTAGCTGAATAGTTTCAAAGATAAATATACCCACTCTGAGGTATATTTTCCTTTGGGTTAAGTCCTGTCAGAAGGACCTTCTCAACTTAGAAGGGAAGGATGACTCATTTCTGACTTGACATGAGGAAAACTTCCTCCTTTCTCTTCTGGTGCCAAGAACCCCGACCTCTGTGTCTGTGTGTGTGGAGGGAAGGGGATCCATTCCAATAGGTGTGTCTACACATCTGCTTTTATGTGCAGTAATGTTCTGACCTCTTTTAAAACAAGAATGGAAAATGGTTGATTTTTCTATAATTGATACCTAAAAAACGAATTTAAAGCTTTTTATTAAGTATTAAATCTTTCTTACTTGCATGTGCAGTGAAGTGACCAGCATTTTGTGTCCAAAAATGAAATGATGTGAAACCTGCCTTAATGTGTTTATAAGTATTTGGCTTCACCATGGGTACCTTGATTGATTCCTCAGTCTCTTCTAGTACATCTGTGAGCATATTGGGGTAACTTGTAGCTAAAACTGGATTTATCTGGGGAGGGAGGATAGGGAGAGGGGAGGAAGATGAGAGTTTATAGCTTGGAGAATGTGTTGACTAAGTTGCAAAAGTTATTTTAGTCTTAGGGTATCCATTGCGTAATTCATGTGTGGACGCCTCAGCTGAGAGTACGGTGTAAAGTGGTGGATTAAATATTGTGCCACTAACCAATTGTACAAGTTGTTGGTATCCCAAAACTTGGGGAAGAAAGTAGCTCCCAGAGCCTTTATCGTGTAAGAATGATTAGCAGTGACAGCAAGGGACCAGGGGAATTGCCCGGAAACTAATAGCCTTTGGGAGTAGTTCAGCTTAGTGACCTGAATAGGTTTAAGCTCCTTGAAAAATATCCCATGCCAAAGTGATTGATACGATATTAACTCTTTTCTTAAAGATTTGAAAATACAAAACTCTTTGATATTGCTCATTTGGAGTACTGCAAGAAGACTGAATTGTACTTAGCTGCTGCTCTACCAGGTATTGCTTTGGGGAACCTTACCTTGTACTGCAGCCAGTGAAAATTATTTTCCTTTTTGAACAGTCTGTTACGGTTATTATTCTGTAAATCTGTCCTCTTGTAATTCATTGTGTTGAATTAAATGTTTCTCACAAAGCAGAGATTCTTCTAGTCTGCGTCGAGCCCCTACCTGGAGTTTTTGTGCTACGTCCCTTCCAGTTATTTCAGCGGAGGTGCTCTTGCATTTTTGTTGTGGGCTCCATTCTGAGATTTGGATCTTCGTATTTGGGAGCTGGGAGAGGGGAACACGGAGGGAAACTCGTGGAAAGCCAGTTCGTTCTTTCTGCAGAGTCTTCCTCTGCAGAAGTAAGTAAGAGGCTGCCCAGGTGGCCCATCTAATGAGCAAGTTGCTGATATGGTCCTTTGAATCTCAATTCTAGCGGTTTGTAACCCCTACTGGAGGTGTTCCTTTGACCAGGGCAATCTTGTTCTGACACTGTTTCTTTTCTAAAACTTGTCTGATATCTAGAGATGTCTTTACTTTTATTTGAACCTAAATATATTGTAAGCATGTGTAGCACTAGAACTTAGATGATTGAGGTGTTGGTACTAATATTTTGATGCATTGAACATCAAGTTTAAATTGCTGCCAACTTGTGTGCCAACTCTTTTGTTTTCACCACTCTGCTTTCCCTGTCCAGCTCTCTCTCTTTCCTTCAGTCCTTTAAAAAGTTTATTAATATCTTCATTTTTTATGGAGGAGCTGATTGTTCAGAATACCAGAAAGGGGCTCAGAACTCCTGTCACATCCAAGAAACTTATATAACTTTACTTGCTTATCAAGACAGGTAAGTAAATAAAATATTCCTTTTAAATGATCCTGATGTCTTTCTCATGTTGCTGCAGTAATAACTGGATTAGTTTGTTTTATCACAGCCTGCTGCCATCGATGTGACTGATGGGCACATAGTGGTCTGCCATCATTGAATGTATCCCCAAGGTGGAGAAAGCAGATGTTACTTGAGGTATATCTCGTTAAGCAGATGATGAGCAAAGAACATATTTAAGAGAAGTAGTTGAGTGGAATTGGGGCAAAAGTTGCCTTTTATTAATATACAGCAGTTGTTACACGAGGACATACTGGCATTGTTCATTGTTCTGTCTGAGATCGAGTTAATCTGCTTGGAGAAGTACTAGTGAGGGGATGTTTTTGTAACTCTTTCCATCAATGGTAATGACATCTTCCTGTTGCCCTCAGACATTATAAATGTACATCATATGGAGCTACAATGTGAAATAGCCTTTGGTTTGTCCTGCACACGGTTTACCCTGGTAAACTGTTTCTCTTGTTTCCTACTAAAACAATAGTATCAAGCTCTGTGGACTGATAGTTATCTTGATACAGTTTAATCCTCTTAGGAGATAATATATTAAGTATATTCTAATAGTCCTTATGCAGCTTGACTAAGGGGTGGGATCTTAGCCAGTACAGTTAAGGCTTTGCATCATTTTTTGTGGACAGTGGAATTTTGGATCCATAGCACCTGAGTTCACAAAAGCTCCATTTCTTATGCTGTGTCATGCTCAGTCAGGTTTTTTCTTGTTTTATCTGGAAACAGCAGCCTGCCTAATTCTAGAGGGCACTGGTTGGAGGAGATGGGGGGATGGACTGGTTTGGTTGATGTTGGTAGGTAGGATGACAACCCTCCAAACACTGTTTTATTCTGCAAAGGTACCTTTGTAAAAAGAAACTCCTTGATATTTAAACTTCTGATTTTATCTTGTGCAAAGCATGTTGGAGCTGTTCCATTAAGATGGCTCAATTTTTTTTTTTCCTCTGCTTTGTTTTGCAAAACTAACAAAGTTAAAGGGAATGTAATTATCTCCCTGTTTGTATTAGGGGTGTTATTTTTACTGAGTTCTAGTTGGATGAAATTTTGTTCAATCAATAAAAATAACAAATTTACATGGCTGTTGGTACAGTCTGGATTTGGCCCACAGAGGTTTTGTAGGAAGTTCTGCCAAGGAAAAGTTAGCTTGATCCACGTCTGAAACTGAACTTGCTGAACTGGCTGTTGAGCAAGAAAAGGGAGGAGTTTTCTTGCTTGTAAACTGAGCACATCAGGAAGGGATAACAGTCATGGATGACATGGCTGGACTCTGGGAATGCAGGCGTGTTAAACCCCGCACGTGGGGGCTCTGGTGTCACAGCTGCAAGTTGTTTTCTAGTGATAATATAATATGAAAAATATTTTTGAAGTTAGAATTCATGGATAAATGTATGCTCTTGTTCTACTTCCCATGTGAAAGGAGGCTAGCTGAAGTGAACTTTCCAAATTAGGAATGTATTTTCATCAGTAAAACACATTTTAGTTACTGTGGGAACTGAAAGCACGCACTGTGTACAAGGCAGACTCTGCTAAATGAAAGCTTTTCATCAATGCTAGTTTATCAGCTACTGGTCGAGATAATTTTGCTTCTTTATAGCTCTAAAAGACTGTCCTACTGCTCTTTCCTGTAAAGTAAGAAAATGTTGAATGGGAGTGTGAGTGAAGGTTTAAAAAAAAATTACATGTATTTTGCAGCGGTCTGGCTGAAAACTCATCTTGTGGTAATTTGAGGAACAGAGGGAAGGGGCAGCAACCTGCCCTGTTAGTTAAAAGTTCTGTTGTGGCAAAGTAGTATTTGTGCCAGTCCTGTGAAAGGCACCAGTTGCACAGCTCAAGGCTGTATCCATGTATTTTGAAAAGACTTTAAATCCACTGATGCTGCTGGTCCTTCTGCAGAGCTGCTGGGTCATCCTGGCTCCGTAGCGTGTGTTGTGTGGCTGTACAGTAGCCATCTCCCTGGTTTAAGACTTTATCCTTCAAAACAAACAAGCTGTTCCCCTGAAGCTTTCTTTCCAGGCTTATTTCTGTTGCTAGATATTCCTTCTAATCTTCTGTCCTGAAATTTCCTGACCTAATGCTTAGTCATCCCTGTGTAACTTTGTCTTGGCTCCTGCTTATCAACTTCTAATTGTTCTTTTAAGATCATTATGAAATATATTGTTGCTTTTCTTCCCTCCTGTTTGTCATTGTGGCAACTGCGGGACTTCTGTATGTGAGAATGTACTTTAGCAACTCTCCCCCTTGGTAGCCCTTTCCGATGAAGGAGAACAGTGTCCCCAACCCAGCAGCTCCCTCCAGGCTCCCCAGCAGCACTTACGGTTTCGGAGCAGCCATCGCAGACAGCAAGAGGCCCTGGGACCTCATATGCAAAGTCTTATGTTTAAAGGAAGCGTGGCTGTGTCTTCTCCACCCAGATTCCTCACTGCCTTCTGTTGGGATCCATTCTGGGGTCTGATAACCTGCCCACACACTCGGCTCTTCCTTCTGACTCTGTACCTGCTTGCTTGGTGGTTGTTTATTTTTTTTTCTCCAGTCCTACCCTTTGCTACTTCGCAGGAGGTTGATACAGCAAAACATCTGAAAGGATAACTAGTTTTTCAGCACTTAGTCATGTCCTTTTTGTCTTGTTTTCAAGAGAGCCTGTTCTATCTGGACTGATTCTCCTGGTCCTCGAAAAGAAGGTAGGATAACATGTTTAAAAGGGAGAGGGAGCGGGAGAATGTTTTTTTTTTTTTAATGAAGAAAAAGTAAGTTTTTCAGGATTAACTCTGCAGTCAGACAATCCTGTTTATTTGGGATTACATCCATAAGAACAATCTCCAAGAGTCCAGATGCCCATGTGAATCTTTGGATTATACCACGTATTCATTGTCAGATAAAATACATCTTCTAAGCTGTTGTCACTCTGAACAGAAATTTCTATATACACTGGAACTGCTTCATAACAGGCTTTTCCTTTGCAGTTGGTTGAGGTTCCCAGTGTTGCATATTTTAGCTCCCTGCTTTAAAATTGTACAGATACACATGGGAAGGTGGTGTACTAATTCTGCAGCACAGAAAATAATGTCCTGGATGGGATGTAGTGAGCTAAAAACTTGGCTTTGTTCTCAGATTAGCAAGGATCAACTCTGTTCCCTGAACTAATTGAGGGAAAACTATTACCCTTCAGTTTGACCCCAGGACTAGCTGGAGTCTGAGAATGAAAGAACAGCATTTGCTAAATTCTGTTTACAGTGCTCGAACATTTATGAGAATGAGGAGGCAGGAAAAAATAAACAAACAAAACAACAACAGCAAAACATTTTGAACTTCAGTGTGACCCACCAAATTGCACTTGAAATTGTCAGGGTTATTGGTATTGGTTAGCAATCTCATGTAGTATTCATGAGTACTGATATAACAGTAACTGCTAGCAATAAATAATAGTTACTGAG